TCGTCTCAGCTTGCATGAAGACTTCTCTGCATTGAAACAACTAACAGAAGAGTCCTTTTTCACAACATCATCTAACGATCACATGCTGTTTAACTGAGAATACTTGCTGAGTTTTCACATGCAAAATTGATCTTGCATTTCGACCTAGTTATCTATTTATTTAAATTTTACCCTATCAGAATATCAATAAGATATTCAAAAGGAATAACTTTTATTTCCTGTGATTATTGGAATTTAACTTGTTCTTGCTATAATATCCTAATCCTTGAATGTAAATGTAATAACCTCAGCAATTAGAACTTTTAAAGGGCCACCTGAGTACAGCAAGGAAAAGCAGGCAATAAAATTTTTTATAAGTTTAAATAGGAAATATTTTCTTTTCTGTTCAACACATGGATAGACAAGTATAAGACTCACTAAGTGTAGTGTCAAATCCAACAGAGTAGTATCTAGTTGACCTGAATTCTAGTGCTATCTCTGCCTGTTATAAATATTGTAATCTTGAGCCAATCACTTAAACTGTTTTGGGTATTTGTTTGCTTTTTTTTTGTTTTTTAAGAATTTTGGGAGAACCAGGCAAGACTGAAAACCAAGGTGGCAAGATCCTAAATTCTGAATTGCATAGTCCTGAAAATGGTACCTTGCTTCCCCATTTATTGATTCTCGCTTAAATAAGTCACTGGCCTCTACAAACCTCAAGTGGCTCCGGTGTACAAATGGGATAAAAAGATAATAATAATAAATAAGATAATGTATGTAAAAGGGTTTGACACAGCCTGGCTGATAGTAAATACCAACTAAATGTGTTTCTGTAAATGCTACATAGATGTGGAGTGTTACTATTACTCATATACACTTATGAAGGTTCTAGTTAATATTCAAGGGCAAGTTTATGTCATACCTGAGGAAGTTTTTAAGAAACTGAGGATTTGCTATCACAATTACAGTTCTGATAATAAAGGTCATTGCTAAAGAATGTTGAAATATTTGTAATATATGGGATAATGTGCATTAGCTATTGTTACATAAATGTCAGTTAACAGAACTAAAAAAGACTTGGGATACAGTGTAAGGCCTAATATTCAAACAGAACTGAAGCAAGCTTTGCTTAAGAGCGGAAGGCTTCTATCACCTCTGCATTTGGGCTTAATTATGATTTGACAGAGGAAAAGGTCTGATTAAAACAGTATGTCCAAGTTCACATAACTAATATCTATGAATCTTAGTTTTCTCCTATGCAAAATGTGGAAATTAGTAGTGTCTAATTTGCTGACACTGGGGACTATCAAAAAGAAAAAAGCTAAAGCACTAGGAGAGGGTGGACTCGCCACATTCAACACTGGCCATCTACAAAGCAGAAGACAAATATTTCCTTTGGTACTATTGCTAGCCAATACTATGCCTATAGGACATTTTTCATTCATTTTCCCAACAGATATTTATTCATTGCTTTCCCACTGTGTGCCAGCCACTATCCTAGGGCTTTGAGAATGCAGCAGTGAACAAAATACTACAATCTTGCCGTCATGCAACTTACAGTCTAGGGAGGACAGGGACGTGATAGAAAGATACACAAAGAAATACAGAACTGCAAATCTGAAAACCTCTATGAAGGAAGGAGACAGGATCTGGTACAGTGTTGAAGAGTGTAAGCTGTGAAGACCGGGTTCAAATCTTGGCCTTCCCACTTATAAATGGTGTAACTTTGGGCTGCCAACCTCTCTGTACCTTAGAAATTCTTCTGTAAATAGAGATAGTGAATTACTTCACAGGGCAATTGGGAAAATCTAATGAAATAACACACGTAAGTAAAGGAATTAGTGCCCAGAAGATAGCAAGTGCTCAGAATATTAGTTATTGTTTCAATTGCAGGACTTTCATGGGAAGGCTCTTTGTTTACTTTGTTAAACAAATACATCAGATGGCTAATAACACACACACACAAAAACATACAATGTTAAGATCATCAATCAATTGCTCTTCTTTTTGTTAAGATGCATTTGTCATCATATACGAAACATAATGGTTTGACCAAATTTTTACTTTCTAAACTGGATGTTGTGTAGAAATTTTAGGGAAGAAAAGAACCCAGCATGCTATCAGCTTTATTTGACTGTCTTCAGGCAGGCAGCTTCCCAGCTGCCTTGACAGTGAGGATCCATCCATTTCTGAAAGATCTCCTGGGAAGGCGACATTTTAATCTCCATTGGCAGATAACAAATAAATGGTATTGAAAATTTCACACCCAGATGAAGGGTGATGCTTAATCCAAAGTGATTTATGGCCCGAGTCACATGGTTATTATTGACAATTCCTTCATTAGATCTTTGGCATTTTCCCCAGTCACATTTTTTCTTAGTTTAAATACAACACGATCAGAAAAAGTCAGACACTGAGACAATTAAGGGGAAAGTGAGGAAAAAAAAAAGGGAGGGGGCAGAGAGAGAGAGAGAGAAAAAGGAAATATTTGATAAGTGAATTCATTTGGATTTTTTTTTTCCTTTTCTAGTTCTTGGTATAATTATCTTTAGAGGTATCTATAAAAATGTTTGAATTGAAAACTTACGATAGGCTTATAGTAGAATGAATAAAATTCAGAACATTTTTAAGTGTTTCGGGCATCTTAAGTGCCATTTCAAAAAAATCTTGGCTTTTGTATTTGCAATGTTATTAATATTATGGGTTTTACAACATAATAGACATTGTCTTATTTTCTAATTGAATTTGATTCCTATTTAGGGGCCTTTCCAAAGAGCTTAGTGTATCCATAGAGGATATCAGGCCTCTGATTCCAATAAGTAAAAATAGATTTTTTTTTAACCTGCGAAACAATGGAGAGTCAAAACGAACCTGTTTGCTAATGCTGCTGTAGGAGCTAGGTATTTTAGCTGTTCCTTTCTCTTCCTCGGTCTGCACCCTCAGTATCTGCTCTCCATCTTCCTCTCTCCAGCTGCCTCAGCAGATACAGCCTAGCATACTGATGACCAAACCTAGCTGCTGTCACAGAATCTATACAAGTGCACTAACCAAGACACTCACCAGAACATCATATGAAAACTAAGTACATGGTGAAATCCTTTCTCAGAGGCCAAATTAAAATATAAAGAAAGGACTGGTAAGCATGACTGCATGTATTCCATTTATGTTTTTGAACTCTATGAGGATACGATGCAAAAGGAGATAAATGGAATTAGAGATACATGGAAACAGAGAGAGAGAAAGAGAGAGAGTGAGAGAGGTGTCTCTCACACAAATCCTTTAACTAAGAGAAGAGGGACCATTAACATTCCCTGGGTAGAGATACAACACCCAGCAGACTATATTATGCATTACATACTGTGCCTAATCAGAGGTCAGCAGACTACAGCCTGCAACCTGTTTTTGCAAGACCCATTTAACATAAGGATGGTTTTTCATATTTATTATTTGGATGGTTTTTCATTTCTAAGTATAAAATATAAAGAAGACTATTGGCTATTTGGAGAGAACAATTACTCATTGTATGTATTGGCCTGTAATTCCTAAAGTATTTGTTCTCTGTCCCTTTGCAGATAAAGTTTGCAAACCACTGGCCTGCACTATTTATCACCCAAGACACTTTTGCATTTCTCCTTTGTGGCATTCACTATACATACACTCATATTTATTGTCCAGCTATCCCTCTAGATAACACATTCCTTGAGGGTAGGAACAAGGACAAGCTCTGTGATTGTTACACAGCTGTGTCCCAGCACCAAACAATACATCTAACACAAAAAAATCATTCAATAAAAATTTGATTACAAAGTTAATAAATGAATGAACTATGATGCACATGCAGGACTTTCCTGGCCCTAGTGCTTGTATGTCCTAACAGCAAAGTGGAAACCAAAAGAAGAAGGAACCTGCTTAAAATCACACAGCAAAAGAGTGGAGAAAAAGGACTTTCAATTGGGAGATTCATGCCCTTACTGCAGAGCATTTTACCTACAAGCTTCCTTTGAGCAAAGGAGGAAAGAGCCAATTTTGTCTAATATGGTTAACACAAACATCTGTGGAGAACAGATAAACCAGACAGAGCACTTACTCATTGGGATAGGCAAAGCCATGCGAACACTGCCAGCTACCTGTTTTCTACCCACTCTCCACCTGCTTCCTCATCCAATGCTTCCATGCCCAGTGAATCACTGTACAAGTGTCAGGAACTGAATTGTATGACAACTCATGGAAACAGTAAGTAGATTTTTTTAGTTGGATAGTGGGGAGCCACCCAGTGATGCCGAATGCATCCATCCATACATACACATGGAAGCAAGCTCAAAAGCACATAATTCATACTATTCTGCTTATTTTATTATAAAGAGCACAAAGGTCAAACAATACGCCTTCATCCTTGCCCAATTACATCACTCAAACTGCATCTCCAACTTTTTATATTTCTGTCTTCCATGACTACAATCACAACAGTAATAGTGGCCATGGTGGTGATGGGTCTTGAACTGATTTACCTACATTGTATGGTTTCACCTTAAACATAACCTAGAAAGAATGGAGATAAAGTTCACAAAGGTAGTAAGTGGTAGAGAATTCAAACATAAGACTTTTCTGACTGCAAGTTTGGTCATTTGTAACCACTGCATTGAATTAGAACTATCCACTTTGGCTGCTGCTTTGTTCCTTAGTGCTTGTCCTAGTCTTCATGTCCTCATTTCCATTTTTATTGATTTTACGCATTTTTTATCTTTTAAAAAGAAGCTTACAGTATGATCTGCTTAATCTCATATTACCCAAGAATGACCTTAAGTCTATGACACAGGATATGCATGAATCTAAAATAACTGATAACATTTAACCACTTTCCAATGTTATTTAATTTCTTTATACAATATTTTTTCTACAAATGATGTGAACAAAATGGGAATGAAAGACATGAAAACCATCTTATAACAATAGCCAAACTAAGCTCAGTAGAATTAGAATTAAATGGAAAAAAATGAAGCCCCTAAAAAAAAATCCACGTGGTCCCTTCAGCAGGACATATACTAAAATTGGAAAGATACAGAGAAGATTAGCATGGCCCCTCTGCAAGGATGACATGTAAATTCGTGAACGTTCCATATTTTTGCTTGAAAAAAGCATGGAAGATACTAGAGAATCCCTTTCTGGAGAAATAAAAGAACTAAAATCTGACCAAGGTTATTAATGAGTTGCAATAAAAAATGGAGGCTCTAACTGCGAAGGATAAGTGAGGCAGAAGAGGGAATTAGTGTTATAGAAGACCAAATGATGGAAAATAAAGAAGCTGAGAAAAAGAGAGATAAACAACTACTGGATCACAAGGGCATAATTTGAGAGATAAGTGATACCATAAAGCAAAAAAAATTAGAATAATTGGGATCCCAGAAGAAGAAGAGAGAGAGATGCAGAAGGTATATTGGAGCAAATTATGCCGGAGAACTTTCCTAATTTGGGAAAGGAAACAGGCATCAAAATCCAGGAGGCACAGAGTACCACCCTCAAAATCATTAAAAATAGGCCAACACCCGGACATCTAATAGTGAAACTCACAAGACTCAGAGACCAAGAGAAAATCCTGAAACCAGCTCAGGACAAGAGGTCTGTAACCTACGACGGTAGAAACATTAGACTGGCAACAGACCTATCCACAGAGACCTGGCAGGCCAGAAAGGACTGGTATGATATATTCAGAGCACTAAACGAGAAAAATATGCAGCCAAGAATACTATATCCAGCTAGGTTGTCATTGAAAATAGAAGGAGAAATAAAGAGTCCAGGGCAAATAAAAACTAAAAGAATTTGCAAACACAAAATCAGCCCTACAAGAAATATTGAAAGGGATCCTCTAAGCAAAGAGAGAGCCTAAAAGTAACATAGACCAGAAAGGAACAGAGACAATATACGGTAACAGTCACCTTACAGACAATACAATGGCACTAAATTC